GAATGCGCTAAGGTAGATCCACATTGTAAAATTGTTTAGTTATTTTATGCACTAAAAATCTTCACGTACCATGCTTATTTTTAGCGTAGAGACGATTTTCTCTCTTATATTTTGCTACCACAAATGACAAATATTTTCATTTTTTGCCATTACTACTCTTTTCAGCGGCCTTTGGTGTAATAAAAGAATTGATATAGCAAAAGGCTTACCAACTAAAAGGATTAGCTCCATTCTCTTTAGGATACGAATATATGGCGGAAAATGTGGAGGAATGGGCAGATAGTGCGGCTGATTTTTTCGAGGAATTTACCCAAAATACTAAGTCGAGCACTGGAAAATCACTTCGAAAGCGTAACCGTGAATCAAAGGAAGGTGACGCATTGCAGGCCTTGTTAGAATCTGAGAAAACTCGGGAAGCTCGAGCGGCGGAGTCACGAAGGCGCATCGCAGCGGTGGTAGTAAGTCGCGCGAGTCCCAAAGAAATTAAAAAAGCTGTTGAGTCTGTTAAGAAGCATGATCGTGTCGATGGTAAGGTTAGGAATCAAAACGAAATGAGTCGCGACACTTTTCACAGTAAAAGCAGACGTGTAGGAAGACATGCAGCTAATCTAGGAAAGCCGGCGGGCTTGAAGACCGGGATCCGTGACACCGGTAGCCTTTCCAAGTCATCTAAACCATTCATAGGAAAAAAGGGTAAGCAGAGGAAACCTTTTTTTAGAGGAAAGAAATAAAATGACGGGTAAAGGATTTGTTGGTGCAGTCATCAGCTTATGTAGAAGCGATGACGGTGATGCCATAATACCATTCTTTTTTCCTTTCGGTATTAAGCATTCTTTTCATTAATTTTTGTCTTTGTGAGCTTCTTCTACGTCAACTTCGACATACCAAATATTTCTGGCGCAGGCCGAAACGAAGGGATGACAGTGTGTTCCTTATTTGATACCCTTATTTTTTCCAGATTTCTCTTGTTTCCCTCTGTCCTCGCTATTTTCTTCAAGAAAGAGAATAGTGAACTTATTGGGTACCTTTTCATTCTTTTCATTTTTTTTTGATTTTATTCTATTCATTTTTCCGTTGGTTCTCTATTCCCAAATCTATCAAATCAAATATTTCCATGCAAACGTTAAAGTAACAGTGTGGATCAGAACTCTTCAAAACTTTCTGAAAATAAGAGGTGTGAGAACAACGAAATAATTGTTTTTTTCTTAAAATATAGTATACAGAATGTCAGACAACATCGACGATTTAGATGCCCTCTTAGACGAGGCGATGAATATTGTCGACAAACAGGAGAAAGAACACGAGGAAGAGGTCCGTTTGCGTGATGCCAAGCTGCAGGAGGACCTTCAGCGCACGCTAGAGGAGACTTCAGGCTTCAACGGGGATGATATGGCGAATGGGGATCCTTTGAAGATGTTCCAATCGATTCTAGGGGCTGCAGGATCTGGGGAAGACGATGATGCCTCAATGGAAATCTTAAAGCGCGACGTCGGTGCTCTTGTGCAGTCGCTCGAAGGTGTTGAGGGCTTAAATGAGGAGGATAAGGCTAACCTAGACCGCGTCCGGAACCTTATGAATGTGTTGGGTACTGACGACGACGCCCGCGTGCAGGAGCTGTTGGAGGAAATGAAGAGCAAAGACCCGACACTCGAACTTGACAAACTCGACGTGGAGAACGCGAGCGTGGATGACGTAATGAAGCGCTGTGTGGAATCCCTTCAGCAGCTCGCGACCGCCGCCGAAGGCCCTTTGAGCGAAGGCGCCGAAGCCATCCCCGGCGCGGTCCCCAAAGAGCCCCTGGCAGCAGCGTTGAATCCTCAATCTAGCACGACGCCGGCTTCGTTGCCGCCATCCCTGAATAATGAGCCGGAAAACGTTGCCAACATGCTGTTCGAGACGATCCTTAACCCGCAATTTGTTGAGCCCATTAAATTGATGCGCGATTCCTACGGGCCGTATCTGGCAGATAACGCGTCCAAGCTTTCGGAGGCGGATTTGGAGAGATATCAAGCGCAGCACGCCATGGCGAAGCAGATTTGTGATTTTCTTGTTGTGCCCATCGACAAAGAGGACCATGAACGTGTTACACAATTGCTAGAGTTTATGTATGAATTTTCCAAACTAGGGGAGCCGCCAGCAGAGTTAACAAACTACGCCCCAAATAAAAAAATGGAAAGTTCATAAGTGAAAGCATTTGTTTGATTCTTTCTCACTGCACCTCACTAAAACTCTGAAACATCGTAGAACAATTGCCCCTATATTCGGTTAAATCAGAAAAGGAGGTCATTTTCAAATGTTGATAATACAATGGTTTAAGTGATCGTTATTCTTCTTCAGATGCACAATTGCCGTGTTATGATATTCGTTTTCCAGCGTTTGTTTATTTTTGAGGTCAAAGACAGAACTGATATTTCTTTTCTAAATTTATTCCCTTATCCTCTAGGGAAAGGAATCAGTTTTGTTAATTAGATAACTAACCTAATTTGGCAAACTCATGGCACGAGACCTAAAGGAGGTGTATGCGAACTTAACGCAATTTTACTAAAAGCATAAAATCACCGATACTGGATAATATATGCATTTATATATAAATATATATATGCATATGTATCTTATGGAACGCCTGGGATTAAGCTTACACTCAATCCCATATTTTTTTTGCTAATGTTCTCATATTCTAATGAGTAAAACTTTGTTGACCTTGGATACGATTAACGCCCTCCTTTTTTTTCAGTGTTTTTTTGGTTCTAAGTTATCATTTTATTCAAGTGGTGTGATTTATTTAAGGAGGGAAACCACGCATAGATACACACTCTAAACCAGGTTATAGACATATAAGAGGGGTAGGAGGTTGCGTTTTTGATTTTTTTGATGAGTAAAAACATGGCCGAGCCAACAGATACTGCCGCCACGAGTAAAGGTGAATCCCTCCCGTGGACTGAGAAGTATCGTCCATCGACGCTCGATGATGTCGTTGCGCACGAGGAGATCATTGGAACCCTTCGTCGGCTGATGAATAGCGATAGCATGCCCCACTTGTTGCTTTATGGTCCGCCTGGTACGGGCAAGACGACCACCATTAAGGCTTGTGCGCACTACCTCTACGGGAAAGCGAGGATGCTTGCGAACGTGCTGGAGATGAACGCCTCGGACGACCGTGGGATTGATGTCGTGCGGCAACAGATACGTGAATTTTGTAGCACCTCCTCCATCTTTTCCATGGCAGGGCCGATGACATCCTCGACAGCCGCGCCGAGCGCATCCGGCGCGAACGAGGCTGGCGGGGAAAAGCGCCCCAACGCCCCTCTCCGGCCTTCACACAGCTTCAAACTCGTCGTCCTCGACGAGGCAGATCACATGTCGCACGACGCCCAGGCCGCGCTCCGCCGGATTATCGAGAAGTACACCCGAAACGCCCGTTTTTGCATCCTGTGCAACCACATCAATCGCATCATTCCGGCGTTGCAATCTCGTTGCACGCGATTTCGCTTCGCGCCGGTGCGAAAGGCCGCGATGCTGCCACGGCTACGCCAGGTGGCGGAGGGGGAGGGGGTCGCGTGCACCGCGGAGGGCCTCGCCGCGGCATTTCACCTCTCCCAAGGGGACCTTCGGCGATGTTTGAATACGATGCAATCGGCTGCGCTCGCGGCCGGGGAGATCACCGCCGAGGCGGTCTACCGCGCGACGGGAAACCCCACCCCTGCCGAAGTCGCCGCGATCGTCGCGGACGCGCTTTCGGGGGACTTCGCGAGCTGTTGGCCGAAACTCGAGGTGGCGGTGACGGATAAAGGCGTTTCGGTGATGGATCTGCTGCGGGAAATCCACCCCATTGTGATGGCGATGGATCTCCCGCAGGACTGCAAGTGTTTCTTGCTCACGAAGCTTTCCGATTTGGAGTACTACTCGGCGGGTGGGGCGCGAGAGGGGGTGGGGCTCTCGGGTATTTTGGGAGCTTTTCAGCTCGTGAAAGAGGCAGTAACGCAGCGCAAACCGATTAACGAGGTTGTGGCGGCGTTCGTCCGATAGCGTCGTTTATTTCTTCCTCCCCCTGAGTTGTTGGTTTCCTCTTCTTCAAACGTTTAATACATTTCCTTTGTATTTATGAAATCATGGGATTCATTGGGGTCTACTATCAGTACAAAAAAAAGCAAAAATAGATCCCAAATTTGGATGATATGATTAGATAATCCTCTTTTTTTTTTGATCTACTCTTAAGCTTTCGTTATCCTAGTGACCTTGGTTATTCAGTTATTGAATTTCCTGTTTGCGTTTTTGTTCTACCGCATACCCTCTAGTATTGGTTGTAACCTCAAGAACGGAGAGCCCCCTCGCAACGTGGAGGAATGAGCTCAAGCGATGACGAGAGTTGGATGGTTCCCCTCAGCCAGCGGGGCACCCCTGCTCCCAACCCCGCCACGGGGGGGATGATGCTCGCTCGTCAGGAGGCTCTACGCCGCCAACGGACCTCCGCATTGGCGACGAAACCACCCCCGCAACCACCCTCATCGCAGCTTAAGCAGCAACCAGGGGGGGTTTCCTCCGCTGCTCGTGGAGGAGCGCCGCCGGCGGAGTCGTCGTTGCCCGATTTCCTCCTCGATGATGATGGTGAGGAGGGGGGGAAAGCGGGGGTGGGAGCGACGAGGCCGCCACCGCCTCCAGACGTGAGGGGGGCCGAGGACGTCGGGGAAGCGGAGCTGCGCGTGAGTGAGGAGAGCGTCGAGCATCTTCGCCGTCAGCTGGAGGCGAAGAAACGGTTGCTTCGGTCGAAACGGGAGAAGGAATCCGCTTGGATAGATAAGTGGCGCGCCGACAAAGCGCAGCGGCAGGCCGAGATCCGGCAGATCGAAACCAAGCTGAGCGCCGTGAAAAACTCCGTCGAGGAGGCGAAGGCCCGCGCGGAGGCCGAACTTTCCCAGGCCGAAGCCAGGTACGAACTTGAGATGCTGGAAGCGCGGCGGCGGATTGAGGAGGAGGTAAAGTCCCAGTTCGAGCCGCAAATAGCGGAGTTGCAGAGCAAACTGGAGGCCATGCGTAAGGAGGAAGCAGAGCTTCGGGCGCAGCTGGATGCGCAGGGCGGTGCGAACGATCTGGTTCAGAACGCGATCACCGCCGCCGTTCGCACTATTTTGCAGGGGATCGAGGAAAAGTTCTCGAAAGATGCTCTCAAATCGGAAGAGTGGATTAAGACGGTGGAGCAACTGGTGCGTCATGAGGTCCGCTCTTCCCTTGCGGTCAGTGCGGATAGCGAAGCGCAGTCTGAGCGCGAGGAGCAGAAGAAGAACTTTGCCGATATCTTAGAGTTTTGGCGCCAGGCCGAGGAGGAGGTGCGAGATCGCACACAGAAGATGGATGAGGTTCTTTTATCCGATCTTCAGTCGGCGCTTCACGAGGATCTCGCGCGGCTCCAGAAAGAGGAGCTTAGCATGGAGGAGGTATACATTAAATCGCGTGAGGCGTGGGCGTCGCAGCACCAGGCGATGCTGCAGGCTGAGGTCGATGCCGTTATCCAGCGACGAGAAGCGGAGTTCGCCGAGTATCGTAAGCTGCGCGATCAGATCCACCTTGAGCGCGTCGCTGGGATCGAGCACCGACACCAGCAGCAGATGAGCCTGGAGGATCGCATGCATAAAGAGGAGATGGAGCGGCTGCGCGGACATTTCGCGCAGGAGGAGCATCTCAATGAGGAGCGGCAGCGCATCGCGGTGGCGGCTCAGCAGGATATCGCGAAGGCCATGGAGTCTTTTAAGGGCGTAGCCGCCTCCATGGAGGCAGTGCTAACCTCTTTAAAGGATTATCGTGCGTGTGTGGATGAGGGCCGCGCCGCGCTAGAGTCCGACCGCCAAGCGGCTTTAACGGATCGTCAGAAAACGCTCGAGTCGGTTCGCGAGCTGGTCACATCCCTGCACACGACCATCGACGCGGACTACCGCAGCCTCAACGAAGCCTCCTCTAAACTCCAGCTGGCGAAGGAGCAGATGGAGGAGCTGATGCGGTCGGAAGCGGTGTGGTTAACTCAACAGGAGGCGGCCTACACGAAGAGTCGGGAGAGCTGGGAGCGGGAGTATCGTCGGTGGAAGCAACTAGTGAAGCAGGAACGACATAACGTCGAGGAGCGCTTTTATGAGACACTAGGTGTGTTGCGAGATAGCGTTGCCCAGCTCGGCGCGGAAGAGCAGGAAATTGAGGTGCAATCGGCCGCCATGAAGCGTGCGTTTGCCGAGATGGAATCCTCCATTGCCAAGGATATTGCCGCTCTCCAGACCAAACAACAAGAACTACAGTCTCGGAAAGAGGCGATGAGCGGAATGCTCGGCACCTTAGACCAGAAAGGTGAGGAGATCACACGGCAATGGCATGCTTTACAAGAGGAGCGTGTATCCCTCGCCTCTGAGTGGGATGCCTTGCGAGAGGAGGAGTCGCGGCTACAGCAGATGGCGCACTCATTGAATCTCGTTAATAGCCAATGCGATGCAACACGCGCCCAGGCCGCCGCTGCTGCCGAGCACGGCCGCATCTTGCAGCAGCATCTATCGATGACTAGAGATGCCGTCGAGCACGGATTGGGGCGCTCACTTCCCTCAGGTTCCAATCAGAAGGCGTATCCCATCGCACCCGCTGCGCATGCGGATCCGTCTCGACACTTACACCAACCCCGATCTGCGAATGTTTTGTCCAAAAAGGATCGACTTCCACTTAGAACGCTTAAGGAATTGATGCACAATCTTCAGAATATGACTGATTTTCCAGAATTTTTTCACCAAGCTGCTTTCAATAGTGTTATCCCGTGCATCGAGTCTGCAGATGCCAGGCGAAAGAAAAGGGGATATGCGGCGGCCCCACCGAAAGCGAATGCTATTGCGTCGTTAAAAGCGCCTGATCCTCGCAATGAAGCTGAGATCGTACAAAGAAGCACTTCAAGACGGAGTCTGAATCGATCTACAAGCGCCACCGGACATCGCAATTCTTCGTCTCCTTTAACGGAAATATCTGTTGTTCTATCATCCCACGCTGGGCGTTCGCTAGGGGAAACGTTCACAAATCTTATCAGTTTCTCAGATGCAGATTCAACCTCGCATTCCCAGTTTGCTTCATAAGTAGGCTCAGGTTAGAAAAGACTTTCCTGAGAAACCAAACAATCATGGAAAGAACAGGTGCTCATATATGATTAAATAGATTGGTAAGATTAATCCGAAAACCTCACTAATGAGCTGCAATTTTATTCTTTTGGAAAATCATCTTTCCATTTCATCCTTTTGACATTGCATCCAAATACATCACAATATATGCTTATGAATTACTAGATACCTGTACCTCTTTGGTCATGTGCATAGAAAACTTATTAGAACACATGCAAAGGGAAAATATTTAATCTTATAGTTTTATTCCTAATATTTATAAACATTTACCTAAACTATGTGCTTTTCTAAATCTTCTTCAAGATTATAATAAAACTAGGTGATATATAAAAGTTAAGGAACATAATACTAAAGAAAAATTCAAGGAGCAAAGGGATCAAAACCTTTCCAAACCCTAAATAGAAACCAGCATTAGATAAAGAAAGAAAATTAGTATAGTTTTATCAAGAATGAGGAAGGTCTTTAATTAACGATAATGCACAAAGCGATAGTTGACTCGCGCTTGCGGGTCTCAGGAGATCTGACTGAGATACCATCATGCACCACTCTGAGAGGAGAACCGATGCAGTGGGGAGGGAGGGGATGGGGAGCGGCGTCTAACGCGGCGAGGCATGGGTGGCCGTTGGTTTGTGAGCGACGGCTCCGTTTGTCTGTTTGGCGGCCCGCTATGCGCAGCTGATGACTTTAACACCACGTGAAAAGCACAGTTTGAACTGATGCGGGGGGAAACCCCGTGCGGAAGAAACCATCACGAGCAATCCTTTCCTGATGCGCGGTGAAGCGGGCCTCCGAGTCGTAGGGAGTATGGTTTTGTCACGTTGTATTGTGCGCACTGCCTTCTCTGGAGAATATGGGCTGAGGTATCTGTTTTGTCCACACAAGGTCGCACGTTTCTTTTTGACGCGTGCGCCATGCTGGGCCTGTTGTGCTGCTTTTTTCCCCTTCCCACCCGACGTGTGGGTTTGCTGTTGGCTAATTTCTTCCTTCCTATTTTCTCTTTGCTTTTATTTAATTTTTATAGATCTATTTCCTTGTTTTATTTTGAAAAATCCGTTTTCTCTTATTTTCTTCTTCATGCCCGCTAATCAGCATCTCATTTCCGTTGCCCCAGAAGGCTCTGGTTCCTGGCTTCCTCAGGAGCAGGGTTTCGATACCTTGTTGGTTCACGCTGGTACCCAGCCTGATCCTGTTACTGGTGCGATCCTAACACCTATTTATCAGACTACCACGTTTGTGCAAGAGTCTATTGAAAAATACTGCACCCGTGGTTACAGTTACACTCGTACGAGCAACCCCACCCTCAAGGTGCTGGAGGAGCGCCTTTGCGCGTTGGAAAATGCGAACTTCTGCACGCTCTATGCCACTGGTATGGCAGCGACCACTACTGCTATTTCATCTTTCATGAACTCGGGTGATCACTGCATCGTAACGAACTGCAGCTACGGTGGCACCAACCGCTGCTGCCGTCTCTTTTTCACCCGCCTTGGGATGGAGTTCACCTTTGTTGACATGAGAGACGTCAAGAACGTCGAGGCCGCGATCCGCCCGAACACGAAGCTTGTGATCAGCGAGACCCCTGCGAACCCGACGCTCACGCTGATCGACATCGCCGAGCTGTCGAAGCTGTGCAAGGCGCGAAACCTCATCCACATGTGCGACAGCACCTTCGCGACACCGCTTATCATGCGCCCGCTTGATCTTGGCGCGGATGTCGTCTTTATGAGCACGACCAAGTTCGTGGACGGGCACGACATGACCCTCGGGGGCGCCCTCCTGACCCGGCAAAAGGAGCTTGACGACAAGATGCGTCTTTCGCAGAACATCTTGGGTAACGCGATGTCCCCGAACGTCGCGTTCTTGCAGCTCCAGACCCTCAAAACCCTCGCACTACGGGTGACACGGCAGAGCGAGAACGCGCAACGCGTCGCGGAGTTCCTCTGCACCCACCCGGCGGTGGAGCGGGTGATGTACCCGGGGCTCCCGAACTTCCCGCAGCGGGAGTTGGCCATGCGTCAGCACCTCGGCGGCCTCCACGGCGGGATGCTCTGGTTTGAGGTGAAGGGTGGCAGCGAGGCGGGGCGACGGCTGATGAACACCGTCCCACGGCCTTGGTCTCTCTGCGAGAATCTTGGCGCGACGGAGAGCATCATCACCTGCCCGTCAGTGATGACGCACGCGAATATGACGTCGGAGGACCGTCTTAAGGTTGGTATCACCGACGGTTTCGTGCGCGTCAGCTGTGGTATCGAAGATGTTAACGACCTTATCTCCGCCCTCAAGTCGGCATTGGATGCCCTCTGAGTAAAGCGTATTAAAAGGTTGCAAGGAGCGTAATTCGACTACGTTAACGCTAAGACTTCCTCGATATAGTAAAATATAGGAATATATCTTTATTTATTTATTTTTCTATATCTCCATATGCCCCTATGATAAAAGTGATATATTGGGCCAAATTGAATAATAATATTGGGGAGAACCATTATGGCTTCTTGCAAAAATCTTTATTAGACTATATTCATGGAATCTAGCTCTATTTATTTATTTATGCTTAATATTTAATTTAATTCTTGAAAATGAAATATTAGGAATTCTGAAGGGTCTAATTAGGACCAATATTGCACTAGTGATACATTACATTCATATTAGTCCTGTTAGTCATTTAATATTATATAACGACTATAAGGAGGAAGAATATTTTAATTATTAAAATATATTTACGACATGCAGGTGGCAATATGGAAGCTAATGTTCATGCGCATTATGCCCATAACAGGGATATTTATTTCATGTCTTATTTTGTGTCATTCTTCTTATTTACATTGGGAAAGTGTACCACCACTTTATAATTTTTTCTTACTCCTTTCCACACTATCCTTTGACTTCCTATTTTGTGGTTCGCCGGCGATTCTAACCATGGCAAGAACAGCTTTGGCGACGAAGAAGAGAAGAAAATCGAAGCGTGGTCCACTGCCAATTCCACCGACACTTATTCCTGTAGAAACGGTGGATGATATGGAGATTCATGTTTATAAACACGAAGGTGCATCAATCTTGTCGGTAGTAAGTCCTTTGTGCTCTATCAGCACCGACTCCGTCATTCCATTTCTCGAGAACTTGAATGTCAAACGCCCGCCGGCGTTGAAAGAAACTAATCTGCTTGTTCTATACGCTACGGAAGAGACAACTGCGGTTTGCCGGCATCTTGGCGTGAAGGCCATTCCGTCCTTTTTTTCATACCACTTTGGAGAATTGAAGGAATTTTTTACTGGAGATAACATGGATAAGTTTTTGTTACTGGCAAAACGTGCAGAGGAAGTGGCTCTAGCGAGAAAATTGGAGCTACAGGCTCAACGAAATGCTGCTGAGAAGCTCGCTGAAGAAAACAATGCCGTTACTGCTGCATGAGTTTAAAGGTGTTTCTCGTGTTTTGCATCTTATTATTCAACGTATTAGCCTATCATTGTTTTGTTTTCTCTTTTTTTGAATGTTATTTTCACCATTTCCATCTTAAAAGTTTTTCGTGCATTCTAATTTGAGCTACTTATGACAATACTTATAAATACATATATACAATATATAGAAAAAAAAGGAGAGCTTTGCCTATTTTAAATAATAAAAGCAGCTGATGTAAAAAGAAAATGACATCGTATAATATTTTTCATGTATTTAAAATGTAATTATAAATTTGGCATGTTAATCAGAGGCGTACAATGTATTTACTATGCTGTTTTCTTAAATTCTTTCTTTTCAGACTTTTATATGTGGAATTACATTTTTATTTCATAGACCTTGAGCATGTTGCCTCTCATTTTTTAATGCTTTGAATGCCTTGGAAGACATCTGACCTATATAATATAATTTCCTACGAATCTGAAAACGCGAATATCATTAATTTTGTTTTTAAATTATAAATATAATAAGTGTTTTGCGTGAATAAGTTGTAGGTGATTAATATGAATTTGTGGAAAGATCTATACAATACGGGAGGATTCCGAGCTATCCTAGTCTATTTCGTATAATTTCAAGCGTGGAACTTTATTTTCATAGTGAAATAAGTTTTTATTAGTATTTCTTTTTGACTCACTCATTCTACTGTTTGCGTAAAATGGAGTTGCCCGAGTATTTTATATGCGTTTCGAATCTTTCTGTGTGAATTTGTATAGCCATAGTATACAAAAAAAATATATAGTCTTATGAAGTTTGAATAAACTATTATATATATATATATATGTATATACCTCACCTTTTAGGATGTTGGATTTTTTCGGGTGGCGCTCTTTTGCCTTCGGAAAAAAAACTGAATATTGATTCTTTGGTGTGTTTGTGAATGCTTGGCCTTGTTAATTGCTTTTTTATTTCTGATGAAATGTGATGTCAATGTTTTTTTTTTTGCATTCCCTTTCTCACTTGAATACATTGAAAATAAATCAAGTTGAGTCTTTATACAAGCTTCGTGATTAAAAAAGAGACTTTCCTTTGGCCTCTTTGGTTTTAGTGCTTTACCTTTTTCTGTTTCACGAATCCTTTTTTTTATTTGGCGAGAACTTAGCATTTATTTTCCAGAATTTGCAACCGTAAAAGCCATATTACTATAGCAGCAGCGGGGGGAAGCGATGGTCGCACTGAAGCAGCGAACCACCAACAACCAGACCGCTAAAGTCATCATATCCCAGCTCTACGTCGCATGGGCGACCGAGGAGGACAATGCGAAACAAATCCGCAGCGCCATCCAGGAGTTATTGGCGGCGGTGCGCCACCCCTCCCCATACCCTGTGAACCCCATCGCGGAGGCCGACGCCGGCGTGAATAGCGGCATGGGAAAGGCCGCGTCCTCTTCCAAAATCGCCTCGGCGCCGGTCTCATCCTCCGCCGCGCGCCATCTCGATCCGAGCGGCTCACTCCCCGCGACGGAAGGGGGTTCCCCCCCTCCCCCTTCTCCCCCGATTCCTTCGTCGTCCTCGTCGCTTGTGGAGGAGGGGGGTCGCATCCCTCACGCGACGACGTCGCCGCCGCCTGCGAAATCCACCGTCGCCGACGCCCACGCCCCCCTCCCACAGCAGCCCCACCCCACCCCTCTCGCCCTTAACGGCGAGGCGGGAGGCACCCCCACCCCTCGCGCGGTTTCCCCCAAAAGAGGCGCCGCAGGCGGGGGGGCTTCCCCTTCCACAAAAGGCCCTCATTTGGGGATCCTCACCCCCGCCCTGAACGATGACGTGACGGTTGACTTTATGCCGCCACTCGACTCCGGCCTCGCGAACAACGCGGGGTTCGTGAAGGAGGGCTCCGTCGGGCGGTTTGTGCATCACGCCGAAGGGGGGTTCGCGGCGACGCCCCCGGCGAACGTCCCACGCGCCACCCTCGAGGATATTCCTGTTTTTTATAGCAAAAAAGAGTCGAAAGGGATGCTCGACGCGATCGTGGAGGAGGAACGTGCCAGGCTGCGCGAGATTTTTGACAAAAACGGCGTCGGCAAGCTAGTTCACAAGGCTCAATTTGGGGATCTGAGCGTGAAGGTGTTTAAGGTCCCACTATGGTATAAAGACGCGCTGTTCAAGGCGAATTGCGTATTCGTGAACGCCCCGGTGACCTCCGAGTCGCTCACGCACGCGCAGGTGAATCGATTTTACTACGAAAAGATGGGTATGTTAACCCCTAGTCGACGACTGTATGAGTTGATTAGCGGCGGAGTGGAGCGGGAGGAGGATTACCTTACGATAGAGGACCTGAAGGAGATGGTAAAATCCTTGGTTTCATCTCATCCGAGCCTAGAGTTTCTGCAGCAGCCGGAATTTCAAGAGTACTACTGTCGTACGGTTGCCATACGCATCATGTACGCCCTTGAGCGGCAGCAGTGCCGGAAGGTTTATTGGCGAGACTTTGACCGAAGCGACCTTCCCGAGGTGATGATGAGGCTAGACAGTAAGGATGTCAACCAAGTCTTAGAATACTTTTCCTATGAGCATTTTTATGTTCTTTATTGCAAGTTTTGGGAGCTTGATACGGATCGTGATTTGTTTATCGACTACAGCGACCTGTGCAACTACAGCCAAGGCTCCATTGTGCCGTCTGTGGTGATGCGCGTGATAGAGGGCTATGGGCGCCCGCTGACCTCGACCGTTCCAGGCCATTTGGATTTTGAAGATTTTGTCTACTTTTGTTTGTCTGAAGAGGATAAGAACTCGGAGCCCGCGGTCTACTACTGGTTCAAGGTCCTAGATGTGGATGGCGATGGCATCCTTAGCGGCCATGAGCTCTTCCAGTTCTACAAGGAGAACCAACAGCGCTTTTTAGAATACTCCGAGTCCCCGGAGGGCGACATTGCTTACGAGGACTCCATGTGCCAGATGCTGGATATGCTAGGCTTTGACCGCGTCAAATCGCGGCGCTACGGCCTCACATTAGGAGACCTGCGGGCCTGCCCAACGCCGGCAAACTTCTTCAATATGATTTTTAACGCCCCAAAGTTTTTATTGTTCGAGCACCGAGACCCTTTCGCGGAGCATCAGCAAAAGCTAAAAGTAGAGAAGACCGATTGGGATCGCTTCGCAAGAGCTGAGTATGATCGTATGGCGGCAGAGGCTCAATAGCGTCTTCACCGCCTGATAGATTTCCCGCATTGTCTCCCTCCACTTCTTTCTTTTTGTCCTCTCCACCTTCCCCCCTTTTCCGCGACAAGCGAACAAGAGGGGAGTCAGTCACCAACGCTAACAATACCGCTGAGAACAGGAGTTCACCCCTTTCCTTCTTCCCTCCAGAAAAGATAAAAGGAGGTGTGAAGGGTATTAACAAGCCAAACTGGAAAATGATCCAATATTACCCATTGTTGAGAGGGAATTCCGTGAATAATATAAAAGTCAGGTTCCTATCTTTGATCAAAAAATTGTTTCCTTACTACGTAAATTATTGCTGCGAAAGCTTTTCGCCCTTCAGTTCTTCCTCTCGGTATGCGTGTGATGCTTTACTTGCCGTGATAATTCGAAGTATACTCATACATATGTGCATACTGTTGTTCAGTTCGATTAGCGTTTTCCGTTAGAATTAGTTTGGTTTTGTTTTCTTGTAGCGAGGAGTACTTGTATCTTTATTTTTCGAGTTCTCAATCTGCGTGGTTTAGGTAATGGTGTACTCAGCAATTATTCTAATGTCAATCACGGCAAACCCACGTATTATTTGTACAAAGTATAGCTGATTACGCTTGTACATTTGTTTTTACTCCCTTTAATCGAGCAGCAAATTCATCAGACCAGAACAATAACAATGAATCAATAAATTCAAAATCTCGGTTTCTGAAGGGAGCGAAATATCGCGCCATGAGTCAAACGAACGTTAAGCTTCATTTGAGAATCCAACTCTCCATTTCTTCCTCTTTTCATTACCATTTACAATTCTGAAGTGTGTTAATTTTTGTATTATATAAATATATAAACATATATATACATACATATACGTATTTATATATATATGTGTACATATAGATATATACATATATAAGCACTTTTAAAAAATAACTTAATAAATTCTGCTTGTACCGTCCTGGACGCCAAACAGAATCAGAATTAAAGAAATCACATAAGCATAATTATTTTAATATGCATCAGCGAAAAAATCACAAACTTGACTCTTTGGAGCTCAAAGCTCTCTCGGTCTCCTCGTCACTACGCTTTCTACTGGGTGTTGAGTGCCAAGTGGTGCTTTGCATAACCAAAGTGGGTAGCCGACATCCGTTTTCTCTTTATTTTCCGAAATTTTCAGAGACCTTTCGAAAGCTCTTAAGCCTGTGTGCGTCCCGTTTTCAGCTTACGTGCGAACATCTCAAAGGAGACAGTGGGTCCGTTTTGAAGGGAAAGGCCGTAATTCCTCTCCTTCGTTACGCGGACTATCTACCAGGGGCACTCCATGTGGACGAAATACTAGCCTGCTTGTCACTTGTGCCTACCGTTAGGGATAGAAGTTCACATAGTACCGTTGATAAGAATGATAAAAATGGCACACTCAGTAGCGATGGCCGTTCGTACGAACTCGAGGCGTGTTTTGATGACTACACAGAGTTCACAGTCGACCTCTCTCTTAATGATGTTCACGGGCGCGGGTTTTATCTAACTTTGGAGTATGGGCTTGGTATGGCAACGCACAGCCACCTTGTGGAGCTGACGTTTCACGCGGATCAGAACTATCAAAAGGCGCTTCAAGAATTTCAGGAGTTCAGTGGCTGGACTAAATTTGACCTGAGGTTCTACGACGACCAGTTCAAATCAGAAGGGGGTATTATTGTGATGCCCACTGTGCAAGATGCGTGCGATCTTTTAGAGAAGTATGAAGACGAGGAGTCTGATGATGATTGCGACCTGTTGCCATTCACGCTCCGCCCGGTCGCGCCGCTGGTCCCTGTTCCATGCGTCGAGGATTCCGTCCTCTGCCGGCAGAGGAACGAGCACTGGGATGACATTGTAGCCTTCTGGGAGCGTTTCCCCAACAACAAGAACACCGTGGTGATCTACAACTTGTACAGCGGCGCCACAATAGCGGAGATCCTAGCCTTCCTCGCACACTTGCCCGTTGAGGAGGCGTTGATGGTTGAAGATGACTCTCCTTCTCACCGGCGGCGCCTGTTTGTAACCTTTACCACCTCACAGGCGACAATGCGAGCGCTAGAGTTGGATGGAAAGAGTACGAAAGGCCGCGCGCTGCGGGTGCAGGTCGCGCCACCGTACATCTCGAAGGATCGTCGTGGATGGGTGGTGGAGGGTCCGCTGACAGGGTCTGCACTGAAGACGGAGGAGGGCAAATCCTCAGAGACCCCAGCCGCCGTGTCTCAGGGGCAGGGGCGAAAACGGGGGCAAACTTCCCCCACCCTCGCTCCCCACGTAGCGTCATCGGCTTCTGCTGCTCGTGAGAGCACGAAGAAAAATGAGCGTGCAACCACGACTACGGCACCGGACCATTCCGTGACCAAGACATCCACCTCGAAAGGCCGTGACGGTGCCTCCTCCAAACCAGAACAGGAAGTTATCAAACCCGCCCCTCAGTCGCAGGCTTCGGTTAAAAGCACCCCCAGCAAGATCCCCCCCTTGAAGGCACCAGCCGAGGCGAAGACGAAGGGGAGCCTTCCCAACCACCCCGTCGACCCGCCGCACGCCGCGCTGTCGAAGCCGCGGTCCGCAATCTTCCCGCCTTCCAAAGCCGCCATGACCCCTCTTCCCACGTCCACTTCGACACCTCCAACAACTGCTCCTGTTCCAGC